GGTAGTCTATTGTTACGATTCCAAAATTAATCCACTTTATGTTTTAAAAAGTTATCAATTTACGGAATACTGATGTGCCACTTTCATTTGTCTTGATTGAATCACACCACCAAGACAAAATTTAAGATGGAGCTCATTCAAAGTTTCCACAAAACTATAATACAATTATAGGCGCGAAAGGTGTCGTATAGTTACCACAAGTGATAGAAAAGCTCTGGCATATGGATTATTTTTGTGACCAGCTGGCAATCAGAAGCACAATATCTCTCAATGAAATTTGAATTTAAAAATCTCTTTACTAAAAAATTATTGAGAAATACAAATATCTGAAGGGCTAAAGCCGTTCTCATCTAAAATTTTCAGTAACAAAATTGCGCTAATCCTCTATCTTCTACAACGCGAAGTAACTTAATAAAAGAGTTGGAAATCAAGTAACGGTTTTTTTAAAAGTATTAATCGCGTAATGTAGTGTTTAGTGTATGTAAGTACTATTTTGGAAATTAAATGTGTAAAGGAAATCTACCAAAAAAAAGTTTGGAAAAAAGTAATGATTGAGCGAGCGTGGGGAGAACTCATACAGTCAAGAATGACACTTAATATGACATCTAGAAAAACATTCGCTGTAATTTCGTCCTCACAGCTACAAATAAGCAAAGAGTCATTATTATCTGCATAATGGCAACCAATGAGGTGGGCGACTTTTGTTTGGCCTTCAGATCGATGGCTGTGACCGACGGGTTCAAGGACAAGCTTAACGGGAATTAACGCAATGCACGTACGGTCTCCGTGAGCAACTTAGCAACAGAGACTGGGGAAATCACAGAGGATGTAAAGGCTCTTCGGCATCTAGTCATTTGGAAATAATAAGATGTATAAATTGAGCTTATATTTGGTGAGTTAAAACGATGTTAATTAAAAGTAATACTGATAGCGAAAAACAGCTGAAATCAAATGGAAAACCTTGAAAATGTATATCTCTTGTTAACTGAGAATTCGAGCGGAGCGCGTACTAGCCATTATGGTTACGTCAAAGTCGAGAATTCTAAACGAGAGGAAAGGTAAGATATTTCAGAGGTGACTTTAAGCTCGCGTGCGCTGGTTGTTTTTGCTGTTTCGAAGCATCTTTATACAAGAGGTCATAAGACAGACGAAAGCTTCAGTTTGAAGTCGCGCCACTGAATTCTCTGTTGTGTATTCTATACAAATTGCCAGCCGGGGTTAAAGTTTGTTCCTTTTTGGATACGTTTTCTGTTTTGCTTTGGTAAAATTTATGCCAAATCATTTCTCTACTTCTAAACCTACATACGCTGCAAATGCATGGGCAAACGTTTCGCAGTTGTCCGTTTTCTACTGAACACTAAGTTCAGACAAACCATGACAAAATTCTCTTCAGGAACTGATGAAAAGAAAAGTGAAAAGCTAGCTAAGCCTGTAGACATTATTTAATTTTGGTCCTACTAAACATTCAAGTTTACTGTTTAGGTTCCAAGAATTCACGCACTGTATTAATAACAAGGCAACCTGTGTAAATAAGACCTTCTATTTTTACTACTTATAAACTGTCTTGGCATTGATTATTTGGAATCAGCAACGACTCGTTTCGTCCGAATACACTCGTTTTTTAAATAACTTTTGTATTGAGAACATTGATTGCATAATTCTCCAACTTTCACCGGCTGTATCCTTTGATAATTTACAATCAATTAAACTAATAAAATTTTTCCCGTTCGTTTATGTTCGCCCATAATTACAAGAGATAAAAGACAACGAAATTTCGGAGGCAAAAATTGAGGAATTAAACTGAAATCGATCGACGAGTTCTAGAGCTTTGTAATCTTTTTTAAACATTGACGAGGGGAGTTTCTCCAATTAGAAATTATCACTGGCTATTTTTTTGCAAAAGCGAGCTCTTCGCTTTATCTATTTTTCTGAGCGAAATCAGCATGTAATTCCTTTATTTATTGACGCCGGTGTTTTACCGTTAAAATTTTTGCATTATGAGCATTTAGCTAACCTTATGTTTGAAATAAGATACAATAATGCTCCTGGAAACATTCAAGATCTCTTTCAAGATACTTCTGATATTCATTCTTATAATACTCGATCCTCTGCCTCTAATAACTTTTACACACAAAGTTCCAGGCTCTCAATTCAAGTGAATTCATTTTCTAGAATCGGAACAAAAAAATATGGAATGAAATGCCTGTATCTTTAAGAAAACTTTCAAAAAATGCCTTTAAGAGGAAAATAAAACAAACACTTTTTGAGATCCTAGCTTCAGAGGACTGTTATATTGATCTCCCAGAAATCGTTCAAAAAGTTAAGCTGAATTTATTTTCCTCTTAGTTGATATGCAATCATTAATATCGTTTAGTTTATCAAAAATGAAAAGCTGGCGCGAATGCAACTGGTCGCATTAGGGAAACCATTCGTCCGGTAAAACCATCCGACATTTTAGGCACTGAGCGGAAACGTTTGACAAAAAGGTTCAATTTTCAAATATTTGTCTTTTAATTAAAATCTCTTGTCAATATATCTTGACTTAATGCATCTTGATTTGTTTTTACTATTGTTGTAGTTAATGTTGCTTTTATCCCAAAATGAGTTTGGCACCACAAATGTGCTTTGAAACAATGCAGGGAAGGTACCTTTGAAACGAACATTGTTTTAAAATTAATTTTAGTCTTGGATTCATGTTAATTGACATTTTTAAAAAATGAAAAAATAAAGGTTCAATTCAGCAACCTGAATTATATGGAAACGCAACTTGAGGAGCTTGGCAACCCCGTTGAGTTGCGTTGTATAGCTGTATAGCTTTATACTCGAATTCCAAGTTTGGTTTTTACAGACTCGTCATCATTATCACTGAATGTTAAGGTTAATTACCACTGCTTATATCATAACAATGATTACTGTTTTGTTGTTGTAAGCTGTTTGTTTCGATCCAACAACAACAACAACAGCAACAATAACCTTTATTTGCATGACTATAATTATTTACAGTATTGCAAAAGGTACGTAAGATAAGAACGAAAAGATAAATAATTATGATATTAATCACAGATAATCAAGTGACATTATTCTTACATGACAGTACACGGCGCGCAAATTATTCAATAATGAGATATAATTCGTCAGTCGTTAATTAAGATAAATATGTTCATCGCTCGGTTTAATCACCAGGTCCGAGTAAGATAGCTGCTGAAAATTACGGAGATGACTTCATATTTAAGCAAAAATTAATTTCTAAGTTTTAAATACTTTGGGCAATAGCAGAGAAAGTGAATTTCATCTTCAATTTCATTGGAATGACAAATAGGGCATAATCTTTTGTCTTGAGGAGTTAGGTTATATCTTCCAGTCTCGATCATAAGTTTATGATTACATGCCACGTTAGAAGCCTTTAATATTACCTACTTCCAAGTATCGCTTGCAGAGGACCCAGTTACGTCAGGAGAAACGGCGGCGAAACTGAGCTTTCAAGAACTGGCGAGAGAGCCCCTGGGATGCTACTCTAAAAGAACCAGTTCCACGACTTATTCGAATACTTGTCTGTGATTGGGCACCAAAAATAATTTTGTAAGCAATAATCACGCGCTGCTTTCGTGATCTTCTTATACGAAGAGTTTTACCCGCAACCTCGACTTTTCGCCGTACATGTTTGGCTTGTGCAGGAGAACTTTCTCCGAGAAGAGTTTTCAGCGCAAGTGGGGCCCACAAACCACAGAAATTCTATAAGTGGTAGAATTTCCGTATAAACTCATACATTTATTATGCACGCAGCAATTTCATACTCATTTCACACAAATAGATGATATCAATAGATCGAGCGGAAACATACATGCATAATAAATGTAAGGGGTTCAGTACACGGAAATCTTACCCCATAATTTAGCACGTCAACCTCCGAATAACCTTGGCATCTTTTAAGTCGAAAATCAATAAGCGCCGCGGGGCTCTTCAAAAAATACATAGAGGATATTACACAAAGCAAAGATATGAATTTTATTTTCGTGGGGCAAAACAATATTTTACGAACGAGCGCAGCAAGTGAGTAAAATATTGTTTTTGCGACGAGAAAATAAAATTCATATCTTCAAGCCGCCGTGTAATGTCCTTTTTATTATATAGACAAACAGACATCGATAAAATAATGGAGGGAAATGACCGAAATTACGTCATCGATAATCTCACGTGTGAGATTATGGAAAATAAACCACTCGGGTCCCAGATGTAGTTTTTATGAATTTTACGAGTGGTATATTTTCCAGTAAAACACTCGTGTCTATATAATCAAATGTTTTACCGTATTTGATCGAAAGGGCGCTTACCTCGAGAGTAAGTGTCACACATGAGAAGAAGAAAAATACACAAACCCCTTGGCACTCTTTCGAATAAGTATATTTTCTCCTGTATTCAACGGTCTGAATGGGGGTACCTCTATAACACTAAATACTTCATTTTTTGTTGGTTTTCAACTCTGGGACGAGCGAATTTTCTTCGGGTGCCACGAGTTTCTGCGTTGCTCGAAAACCATAATTTCTAAATTCCAATTCATGGAAAATAAAACCAGCTCAGGTGTTTTGCCGAAGTTTACCGTCAAAATGATTTGCTGGTACCTTTTAATTTATTGACACTTTGTTGGGTCTACAGGTTTCAGACCGTTTTGTCTTGGTTCAGTTTTCCCTTATCATATTAGAGCTTCAGATTGTTTTCCAGTCAAATGGACTACAAACCACCAATTTCTAAATCACTTTATTGATTCGAGGAAGCTGTCACGTGATATGCCATATATCTTTTATAAGCAATAACGTTTCACATTTTAATTCATATCATTATTAATTTTTGCCACAGATGATTATTGTTTAAGGAATTCCTGTATGCGTTACTTCTTAGAGAGAAAACTCTTGATCTGACAATCGTCTATACCGGCCTGACCACTTGAGGACTGCAAGACGGAACTGAATCATCAACTTGATACCCCAGATATCGTTCATGAAATGTCGTCTACCTATCAGGACTTTGGAGTATCTGAAACCGTAGTCAAAACAGCGCAGGGCATTCTTATCATTGTAAACATCATGGGAAACTTTCTGGTGTGTGTCATTATAGTAAAGGAAAAGGATATGAGGTAAGGCGGCAAACACATTGTATGCAACTAAACAGTAACAATTCGTTCCGAAGTACAAAATATACCCTCCAGTTTATCATGATACTGCGCTTTCAACAAATTTAAAAGAAGGACTGGAGAGGGAAAGAAATGCCAAACTTGGTTTAGGGGGAAGATATTACCTATAACGCAAAAAAGCTGAATAAAATCAGCCGTCTTTGATTTACAAAGCTCCTGCGAAAAACTCAGGCGTGCACGCCATATATAAAATTTGTTATGACTCTACCTCTTTATCTACACCATGAATGATTTTGCAGTAGGGTATAAAAGATATAATGCCTCACCCTTCCAGGATACGTTTATTGAGGGTATCTCTTTGGCGAAAAAGAAAAAAAGAAATCTATAATTTATTTCTATCTCAGCATGCTACGCTTTTAAAATCGTATGGGAATTAAATTTAAATTAGGGCACTCTTAACATTAACGAGATTTCGATCTTAGATTTCACGACTGAACTACAATTATCCTTATAATAATGATTAGAACGTTTCTGGGCTTAGAAATCGAAACAAATGAAAAAGTAAGTGCAAAAAAAGATATTCCCTTTTTTATTTTAACATGTTAATGTAACTTATCCCCAGCAAAAATCACTCAAGGCTTAAATGAAATGTACCTGCAACATAAATAATAAAATGCCAACAGGTCCAACAGTAGCAATTATCTCTGAGATTATAATTATGTAACAGAAATCAAACAGTCAGTTTCATGTTCATGCCCAGGGACTCCGGTACTCCAGTCCATTGAAACGGTTTAGTTTTGCCACTAACTCGACTCTAGCGAAAAACTTGTAAATGACAAACTCACCGTTTCCTGACCGTAACCATCAAGAATGTCTCCTAGTATTATAAGATGTAAAGCTACAAACAACAAAGATGAACCTTGGAAAACTGTTTGGTTTCTTCCGACTGCGATCCTTTTCGACTAACTAAGTAAGATAACGGGAAATAATCACATGACCATTTCCAGGTTCCAAAAAGCCTCACTTTCAAACCGACGATAAGTGCAAAACATTTCTTGCGAAAATGGGTTTTATTTGCATGAGAATAAGAAAAAAATCATTTTATATAAATGGCTTCGTAAGTAGCCTCGCTTTGAAACAGAGGCATGGGGCAACTCGGAAATAGCATCCCACGCAGAAGTTCTTTCCCGGGGCCTCTTCCCTTAAAAATGAGATAGGCGGGATATAACCCCAGAAACGAGATTATACCTCCTATAGCCGCCTTTTTTATATAGTATGTCTTCGAGCTTTTATTATTATTATGTCGCAGTATGAAACTTTGGAATGCTGTCTACATTATGAGTAGTATAGGGCGCATAGCGTAACCTACACCACTTGAGAGGCTATACTTAGAAGTAAAAAAAGGTCGATACGAAACCTAATACAATCCTAAAATACATAGTGATATGAATCTCTCTACTTAAAAAGCCAATTTAGAATGTTATTAAATTCTGGTACTCTGTAAAACCTTCGCTATCTCTACTAAAAGCTTATACATAGTGATATAAATCTCTCTACTTAAAGAGCCAATTTAGAATATTATTAAATTCTGATACTCTGTAAAACCTTCGCTATCTCTACTAAAAACATATTTATAATAATATCACACTCTAATGTTCTAAAAAATCTAAATAAAAACGTCAGCAAGCTTGTGTTTCTAGATTTCTAGAGAAAAAACAAAAAACCTAAAAACTGAAGTCCATAGCGCCCTAACTAAGTATTTATCTTAAATGTTCTGGCAATGTTTAAAGTGTTTGAGATGACCGACTTCTGCATTCGCTGAAGTACGCTCCGTGCTCTCGCTCCAAGTAGCTTCCTCACCGACTTCTCTAGGTGTTTAGAGTAACCCCCCAGTACGTCAATTATTACGTTGTACTGTTCAACCCTGTAACCATTGTATCTCTGCTTCAGCTCCCACATCATGGGCCCATACTTGAGTGTCTTTTCCTCATCTTTCTTAGCTCTACTCTCAATCCATGGGCAGCTCATTTCAATTGTGCAGACTTCTTTCCTCTCGTGGTTGACAAGTCGCGCGTCGATCCGATTTGCTCTAACTTCGTTGTGCTCTGCATAGATGGGAATATCCCAAAACGCCTCACTCGTGGTGTTATACCTCCTATAGCCGCCTTTTTTATATAGTATGTCTTCGAGCTTTTATTATTATTATTATTATTATTATTATCATTATTATTATTATTTTAACGAGGGCTCCACTGTAATTGGTTAAGCTGTAGTGGTCTCCCTGCCTAATAATTTTTATGTATTATGTATAAAGATTGTATTCTTGTTAGGTGAAGCTAAATAAATAAATATAATAAATAAAAGTAACGCAAATGTCTTGCTTATCCATCACTGTAAAGTTTGTAAAAGTGCTGCATCTTATCAGTTAGGCTACGTTAAAACGGGCAACAAAAAACCTGTAACTAGTTTTGCAATACTGCTAAAAAACGAATTGAATAGTGATGTTGCGCGTTTTACCAACCACCTTCGAACCTGCCTTGCAACAAATCAGGCTGCAAGGATTTTTTTTACCGTACGTGGGTGGTAAAACACGCAACATCGCTATTCAACTTGTTTTGAAGCTAATTCGCAAAACAAGATGTACGTTTTTTGTTACTTGTTTTACCGTACCTTAAGTCAAAATATACACTGTGCATTTATCCCAAAGGACGCCAGTCAACTTTCTTCTCATGAATCTTGCCATTGCTGACATGGCTGTAGCAACGTTCTTTGCACCAAGGTATCTCTTCATCCACTCTATAACTCATCCAGATGGAGCAGCTGGATTACTTTTATGCAAACTATTGACGAGCGGAAACCTCGCCTGGGTTGGAGCTTCCTCTTCGGTCGTCACCTTGGTTAGCACCGCTTTTGAGCGCTATTATGCAGTGCTACATCCTCTTGGAACCAAGGGAAACCTTACCGAGAACAAAGTCAAGGTGAACTCTCATCCTTGTTTTTCTAAGTTCATTATCAAAATGATGTCCTTTGAGGAGGAGTCGATCATTACTGTGATGAAGAATCGTGGGGGGGGGGGGGGGAATCAACAAAGCTTTATACGGGGAGGCACCGCCTGACGTCCATCCCGTCCCTTACCTTTTTATGTACCATTTTGACAGACGGAAAAGGCACTCCTTTCGTGTACTTTCTAATGACAAATGGTACCCCTTCCACATACCTGGTTTAGAACCTTTGCACCCCTAGCTTTTAAATACTGCTAAATGCACTGTCTCAAAAAGTTTTCACGACCTTCTCAAAGCCATATAATTCATCTCTTGGTCCTTTTGGGCCTTTTTTCAGACCAAAGTGACAGAAATCTATACTTTTGCTAGTGGGCTCCCTACCTTTTCATATGCCTGAAGCCTGATTAACTGAGGTACCCCTTTCGGTCGGAACCTCCCCGTATGAGTCATTACTGGGAGGACCTTCCCCCGGGTGAGGAACACGTTTTTATTTCCTTAAGAATGTATACCAGTGTCTGACCAAACCTTCAAGAAGATGCCATTCATGGGTTTGCCTTACTAGTTTGTTTATCAGTTCGGGCCTTGGACGAACGATCATCCAAGACATACTATTGCTGGGCCTTTCCTCCGAGCTTTGCGTCGTTCTGAGAGACACCGGTATCTATAAACTATATATCTATGAACAAAATTCGTGTTTGGTTTTGCTGAACTTGTCAACCCTCAGGAGAATGTAACTCATAATTTATAATTTATAATGATCAGCTTATCGCCCGCCTCAAAATCTCATCTGAGTAGAAAACAAAACCAATCGTCTTCCTTATATTATTTCAGGTGATAATCCCCTGTTCTTGGATCTTTGGAGTGGTAATCAATATCGTGGGGATCCTGTGTGATAACGTAAACGAAGAGAAAGCCTGTGCTCACATATGTCCCGAAGAATGGATGAACCGATTGTATAGTTCAACTTGGTTTCTGTTCATAGCATTTTTCCCAGTCTGTTTGATGGCTACCCTTTACGCCCGAGTCGTGTACGCTTTATGGTTTAAAAGCGAGAATTCTACTGAAAACAGTGTCAGACAACAGGTTTGGAAACATGATCATATTGTCCTGTTTTCATGAATTTAGAGCTTAGATTCTAAGACGAGGACAACCATGAGTTCCGCCAGCTTTCCTCAGTAAGGTCTCGGTAAAGGAAAACGAGGTGCCCACAGAAAAAAATTCTAGTCGCGCGAGTATTTTCGCTACAAAGGCAAGTTATATATCAAATTAAAGCTAAAAGACTAAATTACCTTATAAAAGATTTTATTTTATCGAATTTCAAAAGGCGCTTAAGTTTTTTGCTCTCGAACTCAGAGGTATCAAGTTTACTGCTGAATCTCCAGCCCTTTCCCGTTGTTAGCTCCCATCTACTATAAAGAAAACGAGTACTGTATAACGCTTACGTCTTACAAATAACTCTTAATAGACGATGTCGAGGCAATGACAATTCTAACAATTTGTCTCTCTTTTGCAGGGTGTCATGAAGATAAGAAAGCGGGTGACCTTAATGGTGTTAATTGTCAGTGTGGTGTTTGCTGTTTGCTGGCTTACAGACGCCTCTAACTTTATTCTGTCCGATTTTTCTGTCGTACGCACTTCCCTTCCAATAGCGTTAACCAACACATTGATTCTGTTCAATTCCGCTATCAATCCGATTGTGTATGCTTTGGTCAACCTGCGATTCAGAAGGAAGTTCAAAAGTATGATCTGCTGTTTTAGTCGTCGAGCAAGAAATATAGTAAATCCAACATTTCCATTAACCAATCCCACTCAGACGGCACTCTCACGTGACTGATTAAAACGTTGGTCCCTTTAAAAATGAGAGGGGAACGGGGCCGAGTGAACTGGTTTCGCAAAGGCTTCTGGAACTGTTACTGCGGAGATCGGAAAAAATTGGCCAATAGCTGACCGGCGCGTCCCCAGTAAACGATTCCATAAACCATCAAGAAACTGAATCTGAATTACGGGATACATTTCGACTCCAGTTCCCATCTCGGTTCGAAAATGGCGAATGCTATTAAGAAACGGTCCAGATAAGAACGATAGCAACAACGGCAACGATCATGTTGGAATGCAAAAAAGGTGCTAACTTTTCTATTGTCTGCACTTACTTCTGATTGGCTTAAACAACAAAAGTTAACAAAACTTCATAAAGCAGTACATATATTCATCTTTACTTTCCAACCATCTTCCATATAACAAAATCTGGTCTCAGTTTGAATAACAAAGAAATCGTATGTGGGGAACATGTAAAATTGTAAACTTTTCTTGGCTATTGTTTTCAACTCTTGTGATTGGTCAAAATCTTTTAACACAAAAAAACACCCTTTCAAAGTGGCGTGTAAATGCATTTTATTGGGTAAACGGCCTTCATGTAGGTTTATGCATTCTCTGTGTAAAAATGAGAACATTCCCAGCATTCCTATGTGGGGAAAGCACTGTTGCCGCATAACAAAAAGAAATTGCTATCCACCTTAACCGGATCATTACTTAATTACGATACGAAACACTTCAGACAAGACTGAGAGTAATTGCATTTCAAAAAGATAATAATGATAATAATAAGATAAAAAGAAAAAATAATAATAAATAAAGTAAGTGAAAATGAAGAATAGGTAAAAAAAAAAAAGCCGCGATGCAGGTATTCTTGGTTTGCGGCGTGACAAGGCGCCTATGTTGTTTATCAATACAGCGGAACCTCGATATAACAAAGTTCTCGGTACAAGGAACAATTTTCCTTACCTCAGATATAATAAGATATATGAAAAAGAACCTCGATATAACGAAACCTCGTTACAGCGAACGAATCCTAACAATACGATCACCTCTGTATTACGGCCAATTCTTTTGGCCCGGCAAAACGGCCATACATTTTCGAGTTTCTTTTTAAAAAAACTTTTGTTAATGAAGTCAGCCATTAAAAGGCCAAAGGCCACATTTTTCAATCCCAAGCAGTAGATTCTTTTAAAATTTCACCCCGTAAATAAAGCCTCTCATTGGAAATTTAGAAGATTGAAATGCCTGCGACAAGCCGCAATTTCACTAGCAAGCTAAAGGCTGTTCCTGCATTGCCTTTAGACTTCACTAAAATGTATTTTTGGTGGTTTAATGGCCCATTTTTACTATAAGTGTTTTATTTACTTGAGAGAAGTTACAAGTAGTTTTTGCAATTACTGTAGCGGTATCTATATTCCGGTTTGGCTAATTCTTTGTTAGAGAAAATATATAGTTGTTCAGGAAGTGCGAATGCAGACGCACGTCAATGCAGGGTGTATGATGCATTTGTCATTCCATGCAGCCGTGTATCATCAAGAACTTACACTGCCGCGGTAATACGGCCACGCTGTTTATACCGTCAAACTTTTTTGACCATTAGTGACCTTAGGCGCTTTCCGTTCAACAAAAATTCTGGTTTGAAATTTCGGAAATTTTACGTGCCCAATGGAACGGTACATTCTGGTTGCGCGCGTTGGTTAGCGAGGGAATTTTAACAGCGAGGTCACGCGAGTTGCGTGGGGGCAAGTTCGCAACGCGCGCGACTCTTTTGCTCAAATACTGTCGCTTCAAGATTTTCGAGCAAAAGAGAGACTGCTCGAAGTCTAATCGTTCTTGAAAGAGGGATATAAAAGAGCGGTACTGGGGACAAGAATTACGTCAAATGGAAAGGGACATTTCGGTCTGACTGTCCGAAATGACCAGACCGGTCAAAGCGGACACCACCATCAAAGCTGGTCCCGAATATTCCGGTCGGACCAAACCGAAATTTGTCCGTTACATTTGATGTAGCATACGAAATTTCCGGAATTTTGTGTTGAATGGAAAGCGCCCTTGATCAACGGAGTTCCACTGTAACATGTTATTTCCTCAACATTAAAGAAATCGAGGAGGGGGACCAATTTTAAGTAATGATATTTTTCGGGAACAGTTAATTAAACGAGTATTCGATTCACGAGAACGAAGATTGTAAATAAGCAACTACCAAAAAGCAAAAAACAAAAAGAAAAGACCGTCAGGTTGTTTCCTTAGACAAGAACCTTTGCTCTGCTTTGTCTCCTCTCACCCAGGGCTGAGTTGCTCGCTAAAAGCAAGGTTAGCTTTAACCATTGGTTAAGCGGTATCAAAACCATTACGTTGTCAAGGTATTAAACGCTGGTTAACGCTAACCATGCTTCGAGCAACTGGGCCCAGGTCTACATATATATTGATCCAAAGGTAAAATACAACGATATATAGCGTTTGCAGACCTCAGTAATTTATTTCCCATACGTACAAGGCCTCAACTGTCGACTACCGTATGCTACATTAGGGCCATTTATACGAGGAAAAATAAG